AAGCATTTCACGTGCAGGATCGCTGCTCCGTCCGGGCTGGCAAGCATTCAGCACGGTCCGATGCCTGGAGGCTGGATTTAGACAGCTTCAGCCTTGAAATAAGAGCCGCTAACTGCCAGGCTCTTTAGATACCCTAAGAGTTCACTGCGGAGGTGATGGACTTACTGCTACCTCAAAGTGAAATTGGAGAGCTGTTAAAAATGTGCTGAAACGCAGCTTTTGGGTAAAATACTACAGCGTGCACGTGTCCAAGGAGGTGGCTGCAGCTTCTGGCACCGGCGAACATGAGTTACAGCTCCTCTTCAGGCTCCCCATCGGGCACGCTCTGCTCTCAGGGTCAGCATCTACCAAGGCAAGCAGAGCTCTTCATGGGGCTTTTGTCCTTCCTCTACCTGGCCATAAATTAGTTTATCTCTTCCCCATCGCTACGCAGGCTTGGGGCACAGGGTTGCTTTGGTCTGTCTTGTTCCTTCCGTGCCGCATGCAAGGCTTGAGTCTCTTGAGGAGTGAAACAGTTTGCTGAACTTACAGGGCTCAAGAAAGGACAAGAAGGTAAAACGCACTCGATCATGACACATAGGCAGAAGTGAGGCACACATCCCCCAGAGACGACTGGCCCAGATAATGTACTTTCTACCACACCGAGGTGGTGAAAGTGGGTATCTTTAGGTAAGGTGTAAATGCATGTTCAGTGTAGGTTCGTCTCCACTCTCCTTTCCTCAGTTCATGACCTGAACAGCAAGTGATGAAGCTTGCAGGTTTTATAACTCAAGCCCTTGTTATAGGTCTTGCAAAAGATCCACATCGGCAATCAACAGGTATGTTAGCCCCTGAATAAACTCCCCGTGACAGCTACGAGCTTCACACCACACTGCAAAGCTCTCGAGGTCCAAGCTCTAATGGCCACCTTAGTGGAAAATGGTCCCCTGAACCTTCACGCTACTAATTTTAGCTCAGATGAGATTTTCATAACTTTTTCAGGGACTCAGTCAGAGCAACTGTGCTGACAGAGAGAGGGAATTAAGTTCTTATGGCACATACAAGGGTCTTGAATGTTGGCATGCCAGAGCCGTGCAGAAAGCTGCACCACAGCTGAAGTAGAGCCCCATCTTTTATTTAATTGGAACTCTGTGCCCATAACCAGCTGCTCCTATTATTGAGACACAATAAAGACAGAAATCCTCAAAAATCCCTTGTATTCAGAAATCCAAGCTGGCATGTTATAACCCCTTTGGATTTCTCCAAACCACAGGCCTAAGGAATTCAAGGCTGTGCATTCACATGTATTTACACATGCCTTGCCTAAAAATGTGAAGAACACATCATAAAAGCACTTATTTTTAAGCATCTGCCTGCAAACTTATGTCAGTGCAAGGAGGATCAGCTGTCGGACTGCCAGCCCGAGCAGACAAACTGGCTCCCGAAATTGCCTTCCCTCGTCTTCGCAGCCAGGCCTGGTCTGGGATTTTGCTTTGCTGAGGACACGTTTCTATTGCTGTCTGCCCATTTTGAGACTTTCACAATTATTTCTTTATCCGGCCATTGAACAGCAGGCAGGAAAAAAGAGTATTTCTCAAAGCCCACGTCCCGAGCTTCTGCCTCGCCCCCCGTACAGCCACCTCTCCCATTCCCATCTGCATCCATATCTTCCAGAAGAGAAGTCCCTCTTCCGCCTTAAGACAACGAGGTCCAATCCAAGTGGGACTAGAGCCCACAGGAGCCTGCTGCTATTACAAGCAACCACATTTTCTAATCACGTTGTAATTTATGGAGCTCAGTCGTGGGTTTTTACCCGTCGCTCTCCCTGTTGGCAGGTTGCCGCTGAGCCTTACACCTCTGATGGCTTGAAACCTCTTCCAATTTCCTGCCTGAATGCATTCGGAGCCAGTTTATATCTATGTTCTTGTGCCAAAGGTGGAGCTTGAATAACGGCTCTTCCTCCTCTAATGCATAGGGAGTGATCATAACCCTTCGATTTGCTAGGCTGAACGAACCAAGCTCTTCTAGGCTCCTCAACAAAATAACATTTCCAGGCTCCTTCCAGTTTATGCCCCTCTTTCCTGAGCAGAGATGCCGTTTTTCCTGATGAATTTTTACCATACTTTATGCAGTGGTATTATAACATATTTGATATTACCATCTTCATCCCCGTGGTAAAAACATATTTTGAAATACATAATATTTATGGCTGTTGTGTAAAGCACTTTGTAGTCCTGCACACTGATGAACAATATTATAAGGGATAACTTTCAGCTTCGCTCTTCAATGCAATGTCTGGATCATTATCTGTGAACACTGGACTAAGGCTTTTTTTCTCTTCAGTAGTGGACATTCAGCAATCAACATGATTTTCACATTGTTGACATGTTCCACAGACCAGCTGATGCCTGAATTAGTGTCCAGGAATCAAGTGAGACCTTGTAGGCTTGCATCGATTCCCCTTTAAAATTATACTTAATAATTTAAACTACGGATTGAAGGGACTCTCCAAATTCTGAAATGACCTGTGGAAACTGCCAAAAACCGATGTCATGTTTGTTGGCCAACTTACCCCCCTGAAATCCTGTAAATTGCTGTGTTAAGTGAGACGTGAATGCTGTCTCCCAAGAACAGCGAGGTAGGAAGGCTGTCGTCCAAGTATAATAAGAAAACTGCATTAGTCTTTCAGGGGAACACTTACCTCCCCAGCTCATACGCTGCACAGAGATTTTAATAAAGTAGAATATTGCAGAAAAAAAGTCGTTTCATTTCATCTGTTTCATGTCGAAGAAACACGACAGCGAAACAGTGGAAGGCAGAGAAAAATTCACCTCCTGCAAACCTGTATTTTCACCCCAGCCTGATGGCCCTGTCCTCAGGCGGAGCGGAGCCCACCAGCTGCTCCATGGCAGACATCAGCCTTCCAGAGGCTCCACATCACGTACGCACACCTGACTCATCGACCAGAAAGCCACATGTCTGTCTGCAGCCTTGCACGGCTCCAGCAAGCTGCTGCAGAGGTACCTCCTACCCCCGCAGGAGGCAAATGGCACCCTCCTGCATCCCGGGGCACCTCCCAGCCCTCCGCTAACTCCCGGAGAAATTCGGGGTGCTGCTCTTCACCTGGGGACAACCCCCAACCCTGCGTCGTGGGGTCTTTCACAGCCCTGGTAAGTCACATCTTGGTTTTGTCTCCTTAGTGGCTCTTCTGATACGTGAAAGGTCCCGAAAGGGGTTGGTGGATGAGCTGTGCTGGAAGGATTTCAGCGTCTGTCTTAGGCTCTGCTTATGGCTGCTCTTCATCTCCATGGTGATTAGAGACAGGTCTGAAGTGGCAAGTCTGCTAAAAGACCCAGCAATGCAGACAGAGCAGCGTAATTAGAAAGAGGGTGTTTATACCGAGGAGCACTGTGACCTCTGCAAGGAACAGATGTTGGAAGAACCTAAAAATACCTAAAAACAGATGCTGGAAGAACCTGAGTAATGCACGAGATGTCAGTACCTACTGTTACTGCTACTCCCTGCTTTTATTTTCTCCTGAGCACCTCAAACTCCCTGATGGCATGCTATTTCTCAAAAAGCACCTGAGGGATCAAAGAAGCGTCTAGGGCTTATGGAATACGTCACCACCATGCTGGAAGTGGGTTTCAATTGCTGTCCATGCCATGCTCTACTCATCAGAGACCACGTCTACCTGGTCAGGTGCCACCTGTCACTATATATCTGTATTTCCACCCAAAGCTACAGGGACATGGGCCATCTTGGGCTCCAGAAGCCACCAACATGCCTGGTCGGAAGGCGGTGCTGAGAGCAGGTGGCACCAGCTTGGGTATGGTCCTCCAACGGGACTCCTGAAACCCAACTGGTTTGTGTCCCTGCAGCACGCAGGACCGGCACAGCTACTTCAGGACCATCTGTATCTCTCCATACACCGTGTCTTGTACCTCCTGTGAGGCAAAAAGGGATCCTCTGACATAAGGAAGGTGACAGAAAAGAAGGCTGCTGCCTGATTTGCATGGTTGGATGGCCCCAAATGAAACACGCAGTGCTGCGGAGTTTCAAGCAAGCAGCGAGCCAGGCTTGTAAAGACAAGAAGAAGGAAAATGAAAAACCCCAAACAACTGGATTTTCTCTAATCAGACAGACAATATTTACAGCCTACGGGTGGTGCCAAAATATTTCAGGAAATGCCTAAACTCTTCTGAATACAAGCTTAAGAAAACACAGTATTTAAGGACAGCAACTACAACAGTAAGAATGAAAGCTTTCCACCCTATCCCAGCCTCCTTACACGGTTTAAAATGATTGCCATAGCAATTATCAAGGCTAAGCTCATTTTGCAATCTCCTCTGCAAATTAAGTTCTGAGTTGAACACGTAAAAGACCAGCATAAAAACCAAAAGAATCATGTAAAGTGCAAGGAGTAGAAATAAATGTGTGCTCCGCACAGACAGCATGCTGGGGTCTAATCCATCCCGCTCAATTCCTGTACCGAGAGACGTGAACTTCGTTTGAACAATTCTTTCCAGTAAGTAAGGCTCACACACCATGGTTGAACAACCCAACCCCAAAGACTTCGGCCCGTTTTTAGAGTCAGCCACCAGCTTTGACTGTCTGCCCTGGACTTACCGCAGAGCAGAGTGGTCCAGGAGGGCAGAATATGAGCATCAAGTCCCCTGGCCACACCGGGGCTACACCGCTTTTTTCCCCATGAAACAGTAGTCGATACATCTGTATCTGTTCCCTCCCTCAACCACAACAAATCTCATCCTGGAAGTATTTTGTTTTCCCCCTCTCAATTACCAATTACATCAACAGATGCAGAAAAACACAAGTCCTGCAAGGATCGCATCTCTATTTTGTTCCATTTGTGCATTCAGACCAGACCCGTCTCTGCGAGCGCACCCAGAAACAGCCGCATGCAACAAGTGCTCGCACCCCCAGGAGAAAACCAGGGCAACTATTTCCAAAGAGCATATTAGAAGAATTTATTTCTGGTAAGTGGCTGGTGTCATCGTTACCTGTTCGGGCTTCAGGCCGGGGGGGACCCACGCGTACTCTTCCAGGGCACAGCCCGAGTCGTCGTCAGAAGTCGAATTCCTCTGGAAGTCAAACATGAGCTTCGTGACGGTCTTCTCCATCTCCAGAGGCATAACTGTTACGATGTGCTCTTCCTGGGAGCACTTACAGTGAAGGCAAATCTTCCTGCAAGGGGAGGAGAGAGGAAAAAGAGGAGATGCCCCTGTGAGTTGCACTTTAAATAAGAAAGCAAAGTGATCCCTGCCAGTCGCTGGCCTGCAGATACTAAACTCAACCCTTTTGTACGCTCAGGCGTTTTCTAACGCAGGATTTGTCTCTCTGACAAAAAGGAAATAAAAGTGCATATTTGCTGTAACAACACTTGGCAATCAAGCTGAGTCAGACTGCCCGATGTTTGGGGATGTGTAATTGCTTGTCCCTTTACTGCCCCATGAGGAGTGTTTCCAGGGGCCAGCAGAGGCGAGGGCCACGTGCCCGCCTGGTGCGGACCGGCGTGCCAGCTGGTAATTGCAGAGCAGTTACCGAATTTAGGACAGCTGAGCACTTGGCTAATACAGAAAATGGTGGATTGACTGCGAAGCCGTGAATGACAAGTCCCTTTAGCATGCTGATAGCATAAATTTGCTTATTAAAGTAGCATAAAAATTGATTACAGTCTGAACATATAAAGCTAAATTAAATTAAGGGAGGCTACAAAAACCACAGTCACACTACAACGGCATCTTAACCGCCCGGCTCGACGGCACGTGCCACAGCTCAGCAGCACCACCAGCTCACACGCTGCCCCAGAGCCGGACGGCGGGGGAAAAGCACAAGGACTGAAAGAACAGCCCACAGGTTGCAATTTAACAGCCATTAGCTTAATTCGCTGCAAATATCACTTCTTCACATTTCTTTTAAGGGTCTGTTCCTGCAGCTGGTGGTCCGTGGGAGATTTTCATCGTGGATTTGAACCTAAGTGTTTATCTGCAGGGCTGCCAGGACATCCCTCCCCTTGGCCAGGGGTAAGAGTGGAGGACTAACCTGGCTGAAAACATCCCTCTGCCCCACAAAAAGAGGTTAAAGGGAAAGCTGGTAAATTGGCTTACATTTCTGAAATTGCAATGCTCCACCACAATATGGGTCAACGGTATCTATTTTAAAATAACGACGCAGGATTCTGAATTAATTTGTTCTAATGAAATGCCACTGGCTTCTGAGGAATGTGAGATACGCTTTCACTTTGGGTAGCAGAAGGGAGACATCTCAGAGATAATAAGGTACCACACAAAAGGCAAGGGAGAAGTTACTGTTAACCACTGCCCTCTGCTATAAGGTAACGCAACGAAATTCAGAGGGCAGCAACAGTTAAACATCAGGGGCTTAATTTTCAAACACCTTTCCTTCTTTTACACCATTGCATCCGAGCCAGCTAAGCATACCAGCGCTCAGATCCAGATTCGAGTCTAAATTTCCACTTGGCCATTACAGCACAAAAAAATGCACTCTAGCAAAAGTCAAGAGGCTCCGTTAAGTCAAGCCAGGGAGATTTGCCAGATTTTCCCATTTCCTGCCTTTCATCAGATCTAAACCACACAGCGACCTCCACGCACCCCCGGCGTCTGGTTTGCATCCAGTCGGAGAGTCTCGGCATCGCCTCTGGCTGTTACCTTAAAAAATAATCAAGGCACCATTTCACGTGAATACTTTAATTAATCAGCTACCGTGGAAGGGCGCTCTGCCTCAGCAAAGCCACTGGTTTCTTTGCTGTTTCCATCTCATTTCACGATATGATTAGAAGCAGCTCAAAATGCAACAAGATGCTAAGAATAATTAATACCTCCAGAGCCCCAGATTCAGCACTGGAGATAGTTATTCTAACGCAGTTTATGAGTTCTTAGCTAAATTTTAATTTTCAGGATATCACTCACAAGCTTCAAAGGGAGACAAACCCAACAGTCCACACTCGGATAGCAGCAATGCCAGGAGCATGAATGAGTGCTGCGGTGGGGAAAAAGCCAGCCCGCATGTTTCTGCCCTTCTCCCTGCTCTAGACACATCGCCTCCAGGAGACGGAGGATGGCAGAAGAGCATCAGAGGTCTTGGCTTGTAATAAATGAGATAAATCAGGCCATCGTAAGGACTTTAAATAACAATGTCGAAGACTTAATGAGATGTATGATCAATTAGACCCCACAGGTCACTCCGCGCGACCGCCAGCCTGCAGCTCACACCACGTACAGCCAGGAGCGCGAGGACCGGCTTGGGAAGCTGATTTACACCCCCCTCACTTCTGCCCCATCCCAGGCAAGCAGGTGCTGACTGCAGGTGGCTTCTCCTCATCAGAAAAGCAAAGGATGAAATGGACACAGGTAGCTTGTCTACTCACCAGTGATGTCCCCCCCAGGCCAGGACAACGGGCTCTGTAAAAACTTTGCACCATTAAAAACTGAGTATCTCCAGGCATGGGGTTTCTGCCACCTCCCTGGGCAAACTGTACAAACTTCAAGATCTTGCCCCTGAGATACTCAGTTCTCTTCCTTTCCCCTCATTAAAAGCAGAAGATTAACAGCTTTAATTACAATTATTTCCTTTACATTAGGATATGCTGTTTCATGGGAACAATACTGAGTGTCCTAGGAGTGTCTTTCCACTCCTATGATATGGTTTCCATGACTTCTTTGCATAGGTCTCACTTACTCAACTTTATCGTCTTCCAGCTCGCTATAATTAAAAATAATTCCCCGTAGTAAAAACTTAATATAAAAATGTACATTTCAAATGTGAGATGAAATTGAAAAAGCAGTATCCCCCCACCGCCCTCAAAGCAGAGCGGCACGAAGTGAGACGATGCACGTGCCAGTGCTCGACCGCGTGCGCGATGACCAGAGTGACAACGTGCCGTGGGTGCCAATGCTGTGCTGGAGAGCTGGTGTGTGTTGGAGAGGAGTGGGGCCATGGCCAGCAGCCTGCCCGGCAGCTTCCGCCAGCGACGGCTCGTTAGTCACTAACTCTGAAGCCTGGAGATGCTCAGGGCATCGGCGTGCCGCATTCCTTACCATATAAAGGGTGCTGCAGCCCAGGTGGAGTGGCACATCCCGCAATGGGAAACCCATTAAGCTTGGCCAGGGCCTGACACAAACCTCACCTAACCACCACCAAAGCTCCATCAACAGCGATTGCTGCTGCCTGCGCGGCCAAGGAGCCCCACACAACTTGAGAAGAGCATGGGCAGGGTTTGGTTTTTTTAAGCAAGACGAAACTAACGCCAATCACTGTCTTCATTCTGGACCTTTCTGTCTTGCTCTCATCCCAGAGAAGGGTCTGCAAGCTCGTCTCAGGGAAGCACCTGCCCTGGTGAGTAAGAGAGGTCTCCAACATCAGGGAGGACACAGGGTTGGAGATATTTCAGTGCTGCTGCTAAAAGTTGGGGACATCCTGGAACATCACTTGACTCCAGGAGCCGAGGGCTGGCAAGGAGAAACCCAGTGATGTTGTGTTTCTGACAAAGCAAGGAGAGCTGACAGCACGACCAGCTTCAGGCATGAAGGGTAAATAAAGGAGCTGGGAAGCAGCTGGAGCTTGTGGACAGGGAGAAAAGAAGCGAGGGAGCCGGCCAGCAGCCACGCTGCTGCGGGAGGCACGGGCTGGGGAGCACCCAGCAGGGCTGCTCGGCACGGAGCTGCGCACGGAGCTGCCCTGCAGCGGGGCCAGGACGGCGGGAAGCAAACGGGGGGAAAAAGAACATTTCCTGGTGTCAGATTTAGCTGGAAAGGAGCCCGCCTTGAATTGACTTCACATGGTACTAAAGCAGCAACGGCTCAAAAACAGATTGAAAAATTTGTTCAACTCAAGGCCAGCGCTTCATGTGATGGAGTTACAAGATGGATGTGTTTTATTTTGCAACGGCTGCTTTTACGTGGTGCTCTTGGCACGGCAGCCGGTCCTCTCCTCAGAGGACGCTCTAACCCCCATCCCCAGTTACATCCCCACCCATCCACTGGCACAGGGGCTGGTGCAAACTGGATCCACCATCCCACGCCAGCCCTCTTCTCTCCATGGGCGAAAACAGGCAGACAAGGGGAACGTGAAGCAAACGGGACCCAATACATCAAGCGGAGAACCTGGGTCCCAAGTCCCTCTTGCTTGGGATGCAGAAACACGCTTCCAGCCCAGGTCCACCGACGTACAGCTTGACACAAGCCCAATTGACCTGTGAGGTCTCTGGGACGAGACAGTCTCTTGTTGTACGCCGCAGTCACCAAAGCACAGCCTCTGCCATCGCCGCAGCCTCCCGCAGCCCTGTCATCCTAGCAACAGCACCAACAATAAGTTATACCTTGCTGAAAACACACTAGTGCCATGAAAGACACTCCGGAGAGAGCCACCAGCGTGCCCCAAGCTCTCTGAAGAGAGCCGAAGTCTCCCTGCTGTGAAAAACCAGCCACGACTCCAAACTGGGAAAGCACAACCAGAGCTAAAAAGCCAGAGAAGAAGAGATGGGGGACGGCAGCCTGGAGCCAAGGCAAACTGGGTCCTTGCAAATGGTCTGTAGCTCCAGCAAAGGAGCCGGCCAAGCTGGCCTCTCCCAGCCAACAGCCTGGAGGACTGGGGCAGCACAGGCAGGTCCGGACCCCCCCGGGGCTGTGAGGGCTGCAGACCCTTTCCTGTGGGAAAATCTCCTGGCTGCAGGGCTTGGCTCTTCCAGCCATGGCTACTCGCTCGGCTGGGTGGGCACGCAAGACCTGGTGCTGCAAACACCACCGAAGCAAAGCCTGCCTGGGCCAGGAACGGCAGATATTTTGAAAAAGGGCAGCGCAAGAGCTCAACCCCTGCCGGCAGCAGCAAGAATGAAGGCAGAGTTTAAAATCGTGGCAGAAATGTTAAAATTCTTCTTGGACAAAGAATAAGGAACTCGGCAAACAGCCCTTATCACACACACCCCTCCCTCCCCCGGCACTGCTTATCTCTGCTTCTCAGTTGTTTCTTCTGGGATGGAAATAAATGGGCTGTATCAGGGAGCAGCTTCGTCTCCAGACAATGCGAGGAGCAGGCATGCCACGGCCCACGCCGGCCCGTGCGATGCCTCTGCTGCGCTCCGTAATAAAGGATTTGCATGCATTTGTGCACACATTAACATGCAAGATTTGGAATCCCTCAAAAAGCAATTGTCTGCTCA